CTGCGCAGCTGCCCGCCAAGGCTCTCGCAGTGGGCCCGCAGCTCCTGCAGCCTGGCCTCTGACGCCCGAAGCTGCTCCACGTGGGCGCCCTTCACCGCCACCAGCGCTGCGTCTCTCTCCCTGGCCAGACGGTCAAGCTCCTCGTGTCTGAAACACCGGGAGGGAGGGACACAGGGCGGCTCACCCAGGGCCTTTCAGCCGCGCTGTCACTGTCCGCTCCACCACGACAGCAGACTCCGGGAAGCCGAAGGCCCGCAGACACAACAGGGACAGACGCCGACACAGTCCTGACGCCCGTGCACGCTCCCCCTCGTGCCCACCACGTCCAAGGCACGAGCTCTGTCCTGTGCGCCAACCACCGAATACCTGGGACTCAATGATCTCGGTTTGCCCGCTTCTCATCCTTCATCTGGCAAAGCAGTTCCAAGAGTCAGGGTTTTCGCGATCTTAGACGCGACAAACAAGCCCAGGAGAGGACACCGCGCACTCTGACGGCTCCTGCTGCCCAGGGACCGTGGCCCTCACTCCCCAGGTGCCTTGGTGAGCGTGCTCCCTACAGTGAAGCCGACTCCACCAGCCTCTGGCTGGGAGCTTCTGACCATGGCACTTGACAAGGAGGAGCTGCACTTGGTTTGGCCACAGGGGCCCCTCTGCAGGGCGGCCTAAGGTTCCCGCCCTTCCCACACGCGGCCACACAGGAGCTGGGGAGGGGCCACAGGGGCAAGAGACACCTGTGCAGCGGCGGGAACGCAGCCCCAACTCTGACCAGGGCACTGCTGCCCCCTTGGCGTAGCAGGTGGACGCCAGGCTGGGAGCTCACGCATCCCCAGCGTGCAGGGGGAGACTCAGGGCCCACCCCGGGCTGAGTGGGTCGGGCCCTGAGGGCACCTGGGCCTCGCTGTGCGTGTGGTGTGGGGGCCAAACATATCTCATACGATGCATTCTACTGAATAATTATGAATCTTAGTTCTTCCATACTGTTTTGTAGATTCTGGACTGATAATTATCTTACTTTAGAAACCTTCCTCAACAGCACCTTTTGACTCCAGCAAGTGTTATGTTTTTAGTTTATATGACTGCATGTAGTTGCTGTGGGTGGTGGATTTCAAGCATAAAAACCGTAACGTGCTTAGTCCAGGTATGACAACTGTGCCTGTAATTCCAGCTACTGGGAGGCTGGGGTAGGAGGATCAACTTAGTGAGACTGTATCATAAAATAAATAACACAACATAAAGCAATAAAATGAAAACAGCTCAGGCGAAATCCTGTGGGACATAGAATGGGAACAGGGAGTTCAAGGAAGAATGCGCATGGCTCAAGGCAGTGGTCTCAGGCGTTCTGAGTTGCGGTGGGGTGTGAAGTCACTGTGTGTTTAGACAGTGTCACGGCACCGGGAACAGGGACTGGACTGCCTGATTCTCCAGTGCAAGGACTCACACTCTTTTCCGCTGGTTCCTGCTTCTGATTTGAAAAGACTCCATGTAGCTTTCAAACACGCACAGGGGACAGTGTCACTGGCCTGTCCTGCCCACTGTGCTCTGCCCGCACCCCTCTGCCTCAGTGCCCTCATCTCGCTACCACCACTACGGCACAGGAGGCAGGCTGGGAGCAGTGGTGCACGCCCGTAGTCCCAGTGCTCGGGAGGCAGAGGCAGGAGGATCACTTGGAGTTCGAGGCCAGCCTGGGCTACATAACAGTGAGAGCCTACCTCAAAAACCAAAAACAAAAACAACCAAAAACCTCAGCTGCTCAGATGACAAGCCAGAGTGGCGAGCAGCTTCTTCAAAGTTCTCCTCAGTTTGTAGGTATCACACAGATATCATGGCAACAAAAACGCAGAAAATATGAGAAAAGTCAGCTGGGGGCCACCCCCATCCTTCACTCTCGGAGCACAGCAAAGTCACAAACATCCTACGAGGTTCTCATTGTCAGTCACTAAACTACATCTTCAGAGGAGAAAAGGGAAATGGCTCTTGTGGTGGCAGCTGAAACAGGCTTCTCCAGCTCCTCTGCGCACCCTCCCTGCAGCCCGGGCTCCTCCTCCCCGAGGCCACTCGCAGCTGGGCCCTTCCCGAAGGCCTGGCCACCCTGCCTCTCCTGCCTCTCTCAACCTGTGGGCAGGGGCTCCTTCCTGCCACAGTGGGCACACCGAGCACCGCCGGCTACAGAGCTGAGTCCCCAGGAACCCAAGGCTCCCCAGGACACAGGATTTTAGATCCGCGAGGACAAAACTGTATTTTGCTATGATGGTTTTAAAAATAAGTGAAAAGTTGGGCTGGGGATTTAGCTCAGTGGTTCCCCAGCCTGCCTCGAAAGCGCAAGGTCCCGAGTTTGATCCCTGGTACCAAAAAAAAAAAAAAAAAAAAAAAAAAAAAAAAGTGAAAAGTTAAAAACAAAATATAAAAGGTGAGCCAGGGATTTAACTCAGTGGTGCAGCTGCCTGTTTACTGCATTTGATCCCCAGTACCAAAATAAATAAATAAACAAACAAAACTTTTAACTGAGATTTTTAAAGTTTAAAACTTTTTTCCTTTAGTGCTGGGGACCACATCCAGGGCACTGCATGCTACATACACCTCTGCCATTAAGCCACACCCCTAGGCTTTACATTGTTGGGCTGCCCTTACCGAGCCGGGGTGAAACCTAGGACCTCACACCTGCTAGGTGTGCGCTCTGCCACTGAGCTACCCCAAACCTATTTATTTTTGGCACTAGGGATCAAACTCAGGACCTTGCGAATGGGAGGCAGATGGCAGAACCACTGAGCTAAATCCCCAGCCCCTAGTAGGTTATTTTGAGACAGCGTCTCACTATGTTGCCTGACTGGCCTTGAACTTGTGACTCTCCTGCCTCAGCCTCTGGAGTAGCTGGAGTTATGAGTCGGGGAGACTGTGCTCAAATCCTTAAAGTTTTAAGTTTTTAAAATACTGAAAGCCTAAACATCACCGAGGAAGCCCAGAGCACAGCACCAATGCAGACCCAGGCCTGACCCCTGCCACGGCCTCTGCCCCGGGGAACCTGCATGTGGCCCGCAGCTCCGTCCCGCGACACCCACTTCCTGTTGAATGTCTCCTCTTCTTTCTTCCTGGCCAGCTGTGCAGAGTGAAGCGTGTCCTCTAGGTCCTTTATCCTATACAGACAGAACCAGTGGAAGAGTGGATAAGCAATAAATAGCCGGTATGCACGAGCCACCGCACGGACCAGCGGGCCGGGGACCCCACACACCCACACACCGCGCATCCTTCACGGCTTCCAGGTCCCGGAGCTCCCAAGCGCAGCCCTGCAGCTTCTGTTCTAACTCGGCGTTTGCTGTCTCCGCTCTCTGCAAACACTCTGCCGTCTGCGCTCCGGCCGCCTTTAGCGCCTCCAGCTCTTTGCTCAGTAGTTTAACCTGAGAAAGGTTTTGGTGGCTCAGTGGGAGCAGGGACAGAGGCCTGAGGTACAGTGGCTGACAGCCACAGCCTGAGGACTCAGACTTCCCAACACCCTGGCCTTGTCTTCAAACCCAGAATGGCCTGCTGGGACTGTACGTCAGCGAAACATGCAAAACTCAGAAGAGGATATCACTGGAACAAAGTGAGATGTCAGGGTAAACATGGCCGTTTCTCCAGGACTAGGAGAGAGGAAACAAATGAATGCTCAAGGAGCAGGAAGCAGTGAAAACATGCTCACATCCATCCCAGTGCAAACTTAGCAAGGCCGAGGCCACACTTGGATCCCGTCCCGTCCCCCAAGGGGCCCCACAGTACCCATGCGCCTCTCACACGGGCCTCAGGATTCCACTCCTCTCCCAACACGAACTGGAATACTATTTTCTTTTCTTTTCTTTTTTTTGAATTAAAATTTATTTTTTCCCTCACTGAGTTTACTGGTGCATTTTAGGTACACAGTGCAGTTACAGTCATTATTGGGATCTTGTTGGAATACTATTCTCACACGGCTCCCACCATCAGAGCAGGGACAAGAGTGTGGCCAGATGCAGCGGACTGCCGTGGGGAGGCTGGGAGGCTCACAGTGGGCCCTGTGCTAACCACAGAGGCGTGGCCCCGAAGTGACCAGGTGTCACCCTGCCCCTCTGCAGCCCCTCGAAGGCCAGTCTCTGCCCTGAGGCCTCCAGTGTGCAGCGCAAGTTCCTCACGCCCTGGCAGAATGTGGGCCAGTGTCCCATCGGGGAGGCCCTGGACCTCCACAGCCTGGGTGGCCTCCATCACAGAGTGGGTAGATGCCTCTCGTTTGCCTGCTTTGAGGCTCTTGCGGGCAGTCTGAAGGGGCAGGACTTTGCCACAGGTGGAGGGCACTCCCTTGAGGCCTGGACAGCCTGACCTGGGGCCGGGCATCAGGGCTCCTCTGACTGGAGAGCAGTTCTGAGCTGGCCCTGCAGCAGGTGCCTCCTTACACCTCACAGAGTCGCCCAGCACCAGCCCTCCAGCTGAGGCCCTGGTGGGAGCCATCTAATTCCCAGCTCAGAAGTCTCCTCACTGCTCAAAGGCTGAGGTGGGAGGTGCCTGCTACCTTGAGCTCATGGGCTAAGACTGTGCTGCTCATGCTGTCAGCCTGCAGGCGGAACTCGTGCTCCCTCTTCTGCATCTTGGATTCAAACTCCAGCAGCAGCTCCTGGAACAGAAAAGGCTCACAGTGAAGGGAAGACAGCAGGGCTCAGCAAAGAACCCGCAAGGTGTCAGTAAATCAGGGCAGGGTATAGTGGCCAGCAAGAGACTGCCACGCACACTGGTGGAGAGGCTGGGGGTCAATGACAGCAGCAGCAGGAGTCACTGGAAGCTGGGAGCTGGCAGCACCTGTGGCCCAACAGTCCCCGTGAGTGGTGGTGAAGGCGCCGGCGGTCCTGGTCCAGAGCGGACTCCAGGAGATGGTTAGGGCCTGCAAGCCCAGCTCGGCCCGGCCCGCTACACCAGGCTCACAACCAGCCCCTTGCACTTGCTCCCCGTCTTCCCTCCAGACAGCGGGACCAGTCGGGGTCCTTACTGCCACCAGGATCGTGAACCGAACCAACCTGGTTTATATGCCAGCTGGTGTCAGGTGTGCTGTTAGAGCAACAGGAAGGACCCAGGACAGCATGGCCCTGTCTGCTCGTCCCTCTGTGTCCAGGCTGAGGACCGAATACTGCGGGCTCCCAGCCAGCAAGCCTCCCTAGTGGAGCCCTGCAGGCTCACCCACTCTGCCAGGCTCAGTGACTTAAAGGGAGGCTCGGAGAGAGCCTCAAGCCGCGGCCACCGCAGCCCCACCCCATGAGCACTGTCCAGGCCCTGGCTAGAGGGACCCACAGTGCAGCACTCAGTGATGGGAGGGCAAGTTGTACACCTGCAGCTGAGCACGGGGGAGCCTCAGAACACACACCGCAGAAAGCACAAGAGAAAAGACACATCTGGCTGTGGAAAGGCAGAACTGAAAGAGGAGTCTGGTGAGCGCAATCCGGCTATGAGAGAGGGCGAACCTTTTTAGAGAGGAGAGCTCAGACTGCAACGCCCAAACCCACTTATCTATCGCAAAGTGCCAACACTGCAATTAAACCTGAATACTGAGGTTACGGATTAGAAAAACAATACGCGGGCCACAGGCTCACCACACTACCCTACATGCTTACTAGCCATCTTTGCCAGTGTCCCCCACTGCCCGTGGCGTTGGCCTTCCCTCTCCTGCTGGCCTGGGCTCCCCAGCCCGAGGGACAAGGAATCGTCTCCCTGAGGCATTGCCGCCCCTGCCCTCTGCTTCCAGACCAACTACTAGGCTGGAGTCCCAGAAGATCCTAACAGTGGGGCAAAGTGACCCACTCCCCAAAAGAACTACCTGAGTTTGCCAAGACAAGCAGATATCGGGGGAATACATGTGGGGACAGGCGTGAGGGGCAGGAACATAATGCTGGGTCAGGGGAACAACTGAAGCAGAGGTTGTGCAAATTCCCAGGGCTGGCAGTTCGGAAGGGCGCCGCCTGCTGGCCACCGTGTGCATGCTCGAGGGCACACAGGGAGCGAGCACCCTTTATCCTGGTGCAGCCCCCGCAGCAAGGGCTCCTGGCCTAGAGAGATGGTGACTGCAGACGCCCACTGCGAGGGACCCAGAAGACAACTTTCACCAATACTCCGAGGGACAGATTAGTGAGGGAGCCCCAGCAACCCTGAGAAGTTCCTCGACTGCCCATCTCTCTAGAGCAGGCCTAACAGGGGGACCACATCCCAGGGACTGAACCCTCAGAGCCCCGAGAGCCCTGGGTCTGGGGCTGCAGGGGACAAATGGCAGCACTCATCCACCAACGGTGAGGGCATGCCAGCAAACCCGAAATCAGAACGGCTGACCATGGACTCCAGAAGTGAGACAGAAACCCTGAAGTCTGACTGGATAGGTATTAGGTTTTCTTTGCTGTGACCAACCAAATACCTGAGAAAAACAATCTAAAGAGGAAAGACTGACTGGCCCATGGTTTCAGGTTTCCATCTAAGGTTGGCCTGCTCCACAGCTTTTAGGCCTGCAGTGAGACACAAATACAGCAGAGGAAAACCACTCCCCTTGGGGCAGCCAGGACGCAGGGCAAACGAGAGAGTCAGAGAGGATGAAGCCATGCTCCCAAGCCTCATTCCCTTCAACTGGGCCCCACCTCCCAATAGCCCATTCACTGATCCACTTGTAATGGATTCATCCACGATGACTTAACACCCTCGAGATCCAACCACTTTCTCAAAGCCTACCAGCTGGCCTGAGGGTTCTTTTTATTATTATTATTATTATTATTATTATCATTATTATTTTGATACCTGATATCAAACTCAGGACCTTGTGCTTGCAAGGCAGGCAGTGGAACCACTGAGCTAAATCCCTGGCCCTTTTGTTTTGTTTTTGAGACAGGATCTCACTGTGTAGTCCAGGCTGGCCTTGAACTCCCAGTGATCCTCCTGCCTCAGCCTCTTGAGTGCTGTATCAGCTGGCCTTAGGGCGGCATTTTAGAGCCACACTGTAACAAGCAGAAAACTTGCAGGGCAAGTGAATGAAAGTCTACCTTGAATCCTAAGAACAGGCTCGGCTCCTCAGTCAGTCCCCAGACCTGAGCCAGTCTGAGACCCACAAGCCCTGGGCTGAAGAGGCGGGACCCCTAGGAGGCAGCCTGCCACCCTAACAAGTCACACTGCTACCTGTTCTCCCACCCTGTTCCAAGGGACTTCGGCCTTTTAACAGGCTCACTGTGCACTGGGAGAAGAAAATCATCAGACCTCTTGGGGCCTTCTGGACCCTGGCTCTAAGCTGATGTTGATTCCAGGTGCCTGGAAACACCGCTGCCGCTCTACTTGGAGAAGGGACTTAGGGACACTAGGTGACTCGAGGGGTTTATCTCAGGTCTGTCTCACAGTGGTCTGGTGGGTTCCCGGATACACACTGGAAGAGACACCCTAGCAGCGAGCAGAGTCCTGCACTAGTGCCCTGGCCTGCGGAGTGAGGGCCACCGTGGTGTGAAAGTCCAAGTGGAGGCCACCAGAACTCTCTATCTGGGAAAGAGCAAATCAAAAAGCAGTGTGGCTTCCCGGGAGGGGCTGCAAAGATCTGGGCCACTGTCAAAGACTTGAAAGATGAAGCTGGTGGTGCCTGCCCTGGCCCACTGAACTCTCCCGTTTGGCCTGTGAGGACGGTGGGCAAACAAAAGCTGAACCAGCGGCAGCTCCCACTGCAGCTGCCACGCCAGACGCGGTCTCACTGTCTGGGTAAGTGAATGGACCCTCTTGAATATGGCCACTGCTGGCAAATGCCTCTCTCCTCCGCCCTGTCCCCAACAGTCCGACCCTCCCTGCCCCACTGGGGGGTAAGCTCTCCAGCGCCGTGTCACAGAGCCATGCACAAGGGCCCCAATCACCTTGACCTTCTACACGAAGCTATCACACTGTCGTCACACTGCCTGGATTCAGTGAGCAAGAGGCAGCAGCTGCTCTAGATTGATGGGGGACATTTGCACGTGAACAGATGAGGAAAACATCTGATGAAATCGTGGGGCCCGGCGCAGGTCATGGTGAGCTGTCCCTCAGACTGCGGAGGGTAAGTTGCATCTGGCCCCACCTGAGAAAAGGCACAGTGCCTACCCAGCCTCTTCAGAGTTTACTCTAGCCATTCACTTGGGTGATATGAAAAGCCTCGTGTTTCCAGTGGGCCCAGAATTTGGCTTCTCTGCCGCTCAGCCACGGTGCAGCAGACCCGAAGGCACCTGGGGCATTGAGGCAGTCAGCATCTACAGGAGAACATAGTGCAGGCCTGACACGGCCACCTACGACTACTCTCCTGGCTGCTACTGGACCGTTAGCCAACAAGGCACCAGGTGACCGGGCTGCCTGGCATGAACTGTGTGGTCCAACCCACCCACTGAGCCGTAAAGTCTGGCGTGTACAGTGAGGCCCTGCCAGCACAAGCAAGAGGCAGGAAGGAGGGACCCAAATGCCTTTGGCCTCACCGCTGCTCACTGCCTTCTCCCTCCCAGCCTGCACCATGCTTGGCCTGGCCACGCTGCTGACAGGGGAAGGGGGTGCTCCTGGTTTACAGGTGGCCTGCGTGACATGGCCTCATCACTGAGAGCAGACAGCTGCAGGGAGAGGGGGAGCAGGGGCCAGGTCCAGACGCGCTACCTGTCTCTGGAGGGCAAGTTCGCCATCGACTTCCTTGAGCTTTCTCTCCAGCCTCCACTTCAGGTTCTCGTACTGCTCCCGCTGGTGGTCGATCTCGCCGTTCTTGTCGCTGTGGTGATAAGACACCGTACTAATAAAGCCACACAGAACAATCACCAAACGGACACACTGGCCAGGGCCCTAGGTGGGGAGGCGGTGCTCTGCTTTTGCAGCAGTGGTGGCAGCCGGGCCCAGAGGGAGCAGGACCTCCGCCAGGACCTGCCTACTATACCTGAGCGGGGTGCAGACAAACCAAAACCTGACGGGCCTGGCTACCAAGAACCAGGAAAAGCTGATCAACAGAGGCCAATGCCAGGACAACACAGATGTGAGCAAGCAGTTTAGAAAAACAAATAGAAAAATACAAAATCTCAGCAAAGAAAAAGAAGGTAGAGCAACGAATCAAACAGAATTTTTTTTCAGTACTGGGGACTGAACCCACAGTCCCAGGCATGCCCAGCCAGCGCTCCACCACCAAGCTGCACCCCAAGCACGTCTGAGTTGCTTTTCTTCTTCTTCTTTTTACCGGGGATCAAATAATCAAAGGGCACTACCACTGGGCCATACCCGGCCCTTTTTAAAAGTTTTTATTTTGAGAAGAGGTCTTGCTTTGTTGGCCTTAAACTTGTTTGGCCTTAAACTTGTGATCCCCCTGCTCAGCCTCCTGAGGAGCTGAAGTTATCGGTGTGTGCCACTGCACCCAGCTCAAGTGGAAATCCGAACACTGGAAAGTATAATAACCAAAAGAAAAGACTCACTGCATGGGCACATTGGCAGGACAAATATGAAAGAAGACGGAATTGGTGAGACAGACTACAGAAACTAGCCGATCTGTACAACACAGAGAAAATATATTTTTAGAAAAATGAATAGAGTCCCAGGGACATGTGGGGTAATAACAAAGATGTAACACTCACGCCACTGGAGTCCAGGATGGAAAAAGAGTGTGGGGCTAAAAGAGTGTTTAAAAATAGCTGACAAGGACCGGAGTTCAATCCCGAGTACCAAAAAAAAAAAGCCGAAAGGGATGTGGAGATGTGGAAAAAAAGAACAGCAAAGGATGTGAGGAGATGCGTCACAAGATACTCTGAAGCACTTTTAAAAAAATGTAAAGCACTGTCACAGGACACCTCAAACTCCAAGCATCTGTGAGGGAGAAAGCCCATGCCCACTGCACACATCTGTGGCTCTTCCAGGCTGCAGACGCACAGGACCGCGGCTCCAGGCCCATGGTCCAGCCTCTCCCTGGTCCATCCCGGGGAAGGAGGCAGTGCTGGGGTCAGTGACTGAGCCAGCACCACACATCTGCCCTGCCAGACTCTGCTGAGGGCCACGGATGCCTGGGCCTCCTGAGGGCAGTGACTCTGTGACAAGTGCGTTTGCTGCAGGGACCTGGAAGCTATGCCCGTGGGTTCTCATGAGAGACAGTGGCACCCGCCCACTACAGGAAGCCCCTCTGTGAGCAGGAATCCTAGTGCACAACAGAAAGCCAGGCGGGGCAGAACTCAATACCCCACCACTCGAACAACTAGAAGCAAGCTCTGGGCAGTGTGGGAATCTCCCTGATCCTGGACCACTCACTCCGTCATCTTCTGGGTGATCATCTGGCTTCTGTGGTTCTAAAAAGTGTCTTTTGTGTTGTTGGTGATGGTGGTAATGGGGGTTGGAACAGGGCCTTTACACTGAGCTACATCCCCAAACCTTTGTGATCCTCCTGCTTCAGCCTCCCAGAGTGCTAGGATTATAGGTATGTATCACCATGTTTAAGTACAGTAGTGCACACCTGTAATCCCAGCACTCAGGGGGCTAAGGCAAGAGAAGTTCACAAGTTCAAGCCCAGGCTAGGCTACATGGTGAGACCCTGTTTCAAAAAATATAATACTGGGCCAGGGATTTAGCTCACTGGCACCCTGCCTACCTCACAACTGCAAGGTCCTGAGTTAAATCCCCGGTACCAGGAAGGAAAAAAAAAAAAAAAGACACCCTCTGGTTCTGAATGTGCTAAAACAAATCATGCTACTTCTGAAATGCCAGGGGAAGACAGAGGCTTGGAGGATTTTAAGCAATGCCTGTTTTATCTTTCTTCCAGACTGACTTATTGAAACCCTGTACACACATGTGAACGACGGGGACCATGGGTGCTGGAGGCCTGGCCAACACAATCTACAGATGAGGCTGCGGGCTCTTCTGTCAGCTTGCCTTAGTCAGCTCATGTAGCTTTGAAATTAATATGTATTCTACACTAAAATAGTGATAGACTGAAGCACGGTGTATCACAGTAATATAGACCTATAATTAATGAAAAAAACTCTACACATCTTGAATGATTTTGGTCCTGTGGTCATAGGTGCCAAGGCACGTGGAGATCGTGCTTGTTGGAGGCAAAGCTATGTGAGGGCCTGTTGGGGGCCAGGCTACATGACATAGGTCGCACAGCCCCGAGGCTGGTGTGACTTGCTTTAGGAACAGGGAAACGTATGGAAGGCTGCATGTTTCCTGGCTGTGTGGGGAAAGCTCTGTAATCACAGCTCCTAAGGCAACACAACATCTGCTGAGGACAGTGCAAAGAAATGAAGGAATCCAGTTATGGGAAAGGACTTAATCCCTATTAGCTTGTTCCCTTTGTTTGTGTTTTTGTTTTTGTAGTGCCCGGGATCAAACTCAGGAGCTTGTGCTTGTGAGCCAGGCTGTGAGCCAGGCACCGTGCCACTGAGCTACATCCCCGGCACTGACTCTTGTCTCTCTTTATCCCCCCCATATCAGCTCCTGGCACGTGCACCCTTGGCATGGAGTCTGGGCCTCAGGGTGAGGGCACAGTGTGAGTGGCTGGTGCCTGGGCAGTCGGGCAAGAGGCAGCCAGGCGTCGCAGCGTTCTGCAGAGGGTCTCACCTGTGGAGGCGGTCCAGCTCCAGGCGATGCTCCTGAGACCTGAGCCGCAGCTGCTCCTGCAGCTCCTCCACACGTCTGGCCTCTCTGGCGAGCTCCTGCTTCAGCTTGGCCATCTCTATCTTGAGCTCACTCACCTCTGCCTGCCTGGCCTCCTCCTGCGCCCTGGCCCGGGCAAACACAGCATCGTAGCGCTCCAGCTCCTGGTCCCGCTCCTCCAGCACCTGCAGGTTGTAGACGAAGTCCTCCTGAAGGCGCCGACACTTTCCCCTCGCCTCCTCCAGCTGGCGCTGAGCGTCCTGCAGAGCTGTCTCCTGCAGCTGGCTGCGCTGGGCCTGCAGCACGCGCCACTCCTCCTCCTTGCGCATCAGCAGCTCGTTCAGGGCCTGCTCGGAGCTCAGCATGGCGGCAGCTGCAGCAGAGGAAGGGGTGTGTGCACCGTCAGCTACTCCAGCCTTTCTTCCCCAGTGTCCACCTCAGCCCCCCAGTGCCAGTTGTCTGGTCACACCACGGTAGCACCAGGCCCGGACCTCAAGGGCTTGCCTGTCCCTCTGCCTTAACCTCATCCTACAGCAAGGAGAAGTGGAGGAAGGCAGACGGAAACAGTGTGTACACCAGCAAGAGCGAGGTTCCATAAAATAGCTTCCTGGAGCATAATGGAGGGTAGGCCTTGGGAAGTAGGGAGAACAAGCTCAGTGGGACTGGAAGAGAAGGGGAAGGGGAAAAAGAGAGGACAGAGGGAAAATGGGAACAACCTTTGGAAGAAGAGTTGAAAGGAGAGGAGGCAATGGGAAAAAGAGGAATCAAGACATATCATGTCCAGACCTGTGGTGCCACAAAATTATCCACTTTCTGCTTCAGGATGTGGTAAACCCAGAAGGCTGTGGGGTGACTGTTAGTGAGGTCGCTGGGGCTGGTGGGGGCCTTGTGACCTGCAGGTGACCTACAGCTCACTGCTCTCAGCGCTGTCATGGGGCCACCCAAGAGCCGGCCCCGTGCGGCCACTTCTGTCAGCACCGCTCGGCTGCCTGGATGCCGAGCTGGCGCCCCAGTCCTGAGGCACAGCGGACATAAGGGCCGACTGTGAGATGGTCTGGGGCAGAGAGTGGTTCACCTGGGGATGCTGGAAGTGGAAAGGGACAGGATTCTTTCTCAGGTGATGGATCCAAAACTAACAACCCATAAGTTCCTGGCAGCCAGAAAAAGGCAGCTGTGCCAGCCCAGGCCGGACGCCTTTGGAAAGCTCCATTTAGTTACTGGTGAAGAAACGGACTATTGTTACACTCCGCTGGCCAGGCTGCCACTGATCTCAAGATTCCCACCCCGACCGGGGCGGTGTCCACCCTGAACAGGGAGCAGGCCTGCGGTAGCAAAGCTGTCCTCTGCACTAAGCTGCCCTTGGCCAGCTGTCCGAGCGTGTGACATCCACCACGAAGGGAGAAGCACGGGGGCTACCCAGGGCGGCTCTGAAACAAACTTCAATACTTGGACGAGGGATTGCGCATGGGTTTTGGAGTCTGCACTCAGGGACAAACAGACACTGTAATGAGGGCCGGGAATTTAGCTCAGTGGTTCCGCCGCCTGCCTTGCAAGCGCAAGGACCCGAGTTCGATCCCTGGTACCAAAACAAAAACAAAGAAACTGTAATGAAAGAACACAACTGGCCCCAAAGGTACCAAAACAAAAACAAAGAAACTGTAATGAAAGAACACAACTGGCCCCAAAGGTACTTCGGAGAAGAAGGACAATTCAGTCAGCTGGGAGTAGGTATTTGACAGCGCTTCTGGGATGAGGTGTCTGGAATGTACATCGGATGCACTCAGATGCACTCAAAGCTGTAGTGAGCTTCCTGACCCTGAATCTTCTGGCCAGTTTCCTCTCTCTCACATCAGAGGTGACAGAATATGGAGCCCTAGAGCGATAAGGAGGCTCAGACTTTAGGTAGAGAGGGAACCACTTGCAGGCTCTGTCTGGGGAATCTTTCTGTCCAGCAAGTGCTAGTTTTAGGGAGGTTTGTTGTGTTCTTATATTTGTGTTTTTTAGAAAAGTGAATGATTAACAGACAGTATAAGTTTTATAATAAAAAAATTAACAACAAAAATAAGCTACAAGGTCAAAACTATTACTATAACATCTTGGTAACAGAACAAGAAAAATTATGCAAGAATTGTCAATGGTCTGGTCCAGCATTTGGAGAATCCCCAAATACTCCACCAGGACTAAGGAGGCGACATGGATTCTACAGGAGGAAAATGGGTGCCCTGTGGACAGCAGGAACCTCCTTGCTCCCCTGAGCTTGGACAACAGCACTTGGGATACCAGAGGCAAAGAGAAAGTGCCACGTGGAAGACCCCAGGGACTGGGGTGGCTGGAACAGGCGCGGAGGGCCACATGGCCATCAAGTGACCACAGGAGCTGCAGGAGGGCCAGACACAGAGCAACAGGATGGGACTACGGCCTCGTCTCTTGGGAGAAAGGAGCAAGGCAATTCCTTGGGCAGCATGTGTCTTCTCGGCACCAGTGTTCAGAGCCAACAGACTTATAAGAGCAGGAATCACATAGGGCAGGGTTTGGCAGATTTTTCTGTGAAGAACCAGGCAGTAACTACTGGGGGTTTGAGCTGCAGTATATGCTCAATTGCTCCACCCTCAGTGAAAGTGGCCGCAGAGTGGACAGCGTGGCTAGACTACCACAAGCAGCCTGCCTGTGCCAAGCATGACAGGAAGTTCCTCACAGCTGGTCCTAGCAACCCTTCTACTGTGTAGGGGACTCAGAAGCCCTCCTGGACTCTCTGTGCGCACACAGAGTGCTGCATGGCTTCCGAGAGCTTCTGGGCCAGTGAGAGGATAAGCACATGACCAGCATAGTGAGTTCAAGGCCAGCCTGAACTACGTAGTGAGACCCTATCTGAAAAAACAAAAAACAACAAGAAAAAAAAAAAAAACAGAGGGCACAGCCTGTCACAGCACCTCTGCATGGGAGAGGGCTGGCTGTGCAGGGAGGTGCCAGGGTACAGAAGGCTGTCTGTGCACACTGGTCCAGATGAACCAGAAGTAGGGGCAGGAGGGGCTGCAAGTCCCAGCCGCAAGGCACTGGCCAGCAGGTCACAGTTGTTAGTGGGGCCGGGCTCCTCCAGCATCCACTGCTCTCACTGGAGCTGGGCCCAGCTCCACAGCCCATCCCAACCTGGCAGCCTCCCCAGCCCGGCCTCTCGGAGCTGCCATTTGTCCAGCCTTCACTGGGGTTCTCGGGGTCCCTACTCATCACCCAAGGTGTATCCACCCCACACCTCTACTTTCTAGTTCCCTTGGCCTATCCAGTGGAACAGCCATCAGCCAAACTGGTCTTTTTTGTTGGTTTTTTCAGACAGGATCTCACCATGTAGCCCAGGCTGGCCTGGAACTCACAGCAATCCTCCTGCCTCAGCCTCTCAAGGGCTGGGATCACAGGTGTGTGCCACCACGCCCAGTTAGGAATCTTTTTGAAAAACGCTTAACCCGGGCTTACTCTTGACTGGGAGCACCTGGACAGGAGGCTCCTGCCCCACTGCCACACTGACAGCCTGGACATAAAAGTGTCCCCCTCAGTGCACTGCAGCCCCTCCTGTCACCCAGTGTTCAATTCTGATGTCACCCCAGAAAACCCTCTGAGCCTTCCAGACTGGCATCACGCTCTCACCCCACGGCCTGGGAGTGAGCTCTGGGTGGCAGTCTCCGTAGCAGAGGTGTTCCTGCAGACAGGCCCTGCACACACCGTGCACACTCACAGGAGAGAATTGGTACCCGCAAGAGTGTTAATCGGGACTGTGAGAAGTGAACTTACTGTGTAGACCACAAGAAACTGGGCTCAGAGGTGGCAGCAGCGAGGCTCTGATCCATGCTCTCGCAGGAGAGGAATGGAGTGGAAGCTGTGTGCTTTCAGGCCTAGCTCCCAAGGGTCCCCTCCCCTTCTCCCATGGTTGGGGTTCACACTCTACCCTGAGCAGTCTACCTCGGTCACACCTGCTACTCCCCATCTCTTTCCCGATTGGCCCTGCTCTCTGCATTCTTTTTTGTGATTATCTGTGGCTTTTGGCTTCTCAGCACTGGAATTCAGTTTCCTGAATTCCTTGTTCAGCAAATGTCTCTTATCCCAGCACCTTACCTCTGGTGTGAGTCTTCTTTTTTACAGTACCAGGGATCAAACTCAGGACCTTGTGCTTGCAAGGCAGGGGCGGTGCCACTGAGTTAAATCCCCAGCCCTTGGCATGAGTCTTTTACAGCCTACATGTTCTTCTCTGCTATCTGACCCAGCTAACTCTGAGACTAAGGGCTTCTTAGAGTACCTATGAAATACAGACCAATTAAAAATATCTGTATCTCTTAGAGTACTGAGTACTTAGCGGCACTGAGTTTCTTGGTCACTTTCCTTGTGGTTGGGACAAAATATCCAACACTCACAGTTTAAAGGAGCAGAGAGATTTACTTTGGCTCAAGTTTGAGAAGTTTTAGTCCATGCGTGGCCGGCTGGCTCTGGGCAGCAGCAGCATGGTGGATGGAGCGGGCAGGGGAGCACTGCTTGCCTCGTGGCAGCGGGAAGCAGCGAGCAGGAGGAGCTGGGAAGAGAGAGCGACCTCTCCAGGTCACACCCAGTAACTCACCTCTTCCCACCAGACCCCGCCTGCTAGCAGCGACTGCCTCCAAAGTCCTGCCTCCAAGTGCACCAGCCTTGGGGGACCCCCAGATCTAAGCTGCAACCCTAAGACCATTGGTGAACCAGAAGCCCTTGTACACCGAGCCCTCAAGAGAGTTCTCTGTCCCACATGCCTCAGCCTGCAAGGCCAGCGGGCCTGGGTTCCTCTGAGGATGCCCGTGGTGCCCTGACCTGTGCCAGGTTCCCTAACCACAAGCTCACCCCTTCAATTCACTGCTCACACAGCCACCCAAGGGTTATTCTTCTACCATGGAAACCTAATCAAGTATTATAATTCTGTTTAACAGCTGCCTGTGGCTCCTGGCCATTTTCAAAGAAAGTCCAACCTTCTCAGGAAAGCACACAGAGGCTCCTCTGACCTCTGCTGGCCCTCAGCAGCTGCAGGCCTTCCGATTTTTGTCCTTGGGCAAATGATACTCTGCCAGAAGTGCCCTCTGTCCTCCTATCAGGGAGCTTCCTTCTCACCAGGTCTCTGACTCAGCAGGGTGCCCTCTCCAATGGCTTCCATGCACCAGCCTGGGCAGCAGGCACTCGCTGCCTCTCTCCTTAGCCTGGGGTGGGCCTGGCAGATGGGGGTCCTGAGCCATTAGCTTTCTGGAAGGAGACAGGTATCCCCCAGGGTTCTGGATGCCATGCAGAGGAGCAGCTCAATAAAATCACGGCAGATGACACAGCCCACCCGCAGTAAGAGGGAGGCGCATCCCCAGCCAGCTGCACAGACGCCGCTATACTCAGGAGCCTGGCGCAGTTCCTCTGCTTCTCAGCCACCATGGAAGTGCTGCCCTGGCTTCTGTACAACACTCACCAAAGGGTGATTTCAAAAGCCCAGAGACCGAGGTTATCAGCTTTAAATGTCAACATCACAGATTCACAGTCTGGACCCAATTTGTCTGCTAGACAGCAGATGTCCCCAGAAAGTGCTGGTTTTCAAGAGGGACCTCACAGAGTTTCTAGAGAGCTACAGGAGAAACCTCCAAAGATGGGAGGGACCAGTGCCAGCCAGACTCCCCCACGCACACCCACTCTAAGGGGAGCGTGGGGCCCTAGCGGCCTGCTCACGCTGATCCAGGTTCAAACACCAGTGGGGACGTTAGAATCACACCCATCCGAACAGCACGCACACATCTCTGGGTTCTGGAAGATGGAAACAATCCTATCAAAGCCATGATTTCCCATGCATGGAAAACTGCAGGCCCAAACAGACTTCAGGCAGCATAGGCCCCACCTGAAAGATATTCCTCACTGGCAAAATGACACAGATGACTTAGCCCGCCTGCCACGCGTGGCTTTAGGATGCGCTGATGTTAAGATGCTGCCACAAACAGTGTGGCCGTGCCCAGGTAGAGGCTCCAAGAGAGAGCTGGGCACAGGGGCAGGTGATGGGCAGCAGTGGTTCACTGCAGAAGGAGCAGGAGGCTCAGAGGCTGGCGCTCCCAGGTGGCAAAAGATTATGGTACAAAGCTACACAGATTATGACAGGGCCAGAGGCTGCCAAAGCTGAGACATCTCTTAACTAATGGCATTATGCTTGTTATAATTTGGGCCTGAAATGTCCCCCCAGAAGCTCAAGTGTTGGTCCCCAGTGCAGCAGTGTTCAGGGGTGGGGACTCTGGGAGGAGACTGAATCGTAAAGTCCCCAATGGATCCAATGGATGAAGCCGCTGGTGGATTCGGTCTAGGGCGATTGGCAGGCGGCTGGACCTTAGGGGCAGGGCCTAGCTGGAGGAAGCAGGTCACCGGAGGCTGCCCTGGGAGGGCAGCTGTACTATGTCCCCCACCTCTGTCTCTGGCCACTGTGGGATGTGCAGCTCTGCTCGGCCACATGCCCTCTGCCATGACGTCTCACCCAGACCCAAGTGACCATGGACTAAGACCCCTGAAACTGGGAGCCAAAGTATTTCCCACTTTAGTGCTTTCTCTCAAGTATTCTGTCATGCTGATGGAGAACTAACAGAATACTTAAAGAGAAAAGGGTTTAAGACAGAGGGTAAAGCCCAAGGTCACAGAGAAGCTGTCTGGAGACGCGCCCAGCACTTGGCGGGAGGCCCTGGCGAGCCCGTGGTGCCCTCCCCTCTCCAGCAAGGTCACTGCGGCCATCACATCCTGGGCAATGGGAGGTGCATGGGTCGTCAGGGCTGCAGGAGCTGCAGGGGAATTAAGCACCCTTCTGTTCAGCTGCCTAAAAGTGTGGAGCAATTGTTTTTAGAATAAACATTTGATGGGTACTTAACTGAAAAAACATTGGATAACCCCAACAAAACACAAGCACTTTCAGATTCTAAAGCGTAGGTAAAAGCACAATTTGCAAAGGCTAAAAGTGAGCAACTCAGTGCTCATGAACAAGCGCTGGGCACATGGACTGGGCAGATGTCCAGAGCAGCTGTTTCCTTCTGCATCCTCTCTCGGAAGAGTGCAGCTCAGAGGCACTCAGCTGCTGATAAAGAGCCACCCATCTCCAAAGCAGAAGAACCGAAAATTAATTTTGCTGTCATCTTGCTGCTGCCCTGAAAATACACATAATGACCTTCACTCCAGTATTCTGAGGGACCTGGAGGTAATCAGGTGACACTTGCTCTGTGCTGGTTGGGGACTCAGGCCTGCAGCTACTCCTAAAGTGGATGCAGGGAGAAAACATATGGACCTGCATCTCCAAGCTTTTTCCTTCCCTCACTGTTTGCCCAAGAGTGGCTACAACCTTTTTTAGAACCTGAGCTGCATGTGGTGGCTCACACCTGTAATCCTAGTATTCAGGAGGCTGAGGCAGGAGGATCACTGAGAATTCAAGGCCAGCCTGGGCTACATAATGAGTTTGATCAGCCTGGACAACACAGGGAGACCCTATGAGTTTTTTTGTTTGTTTGTTTTGTTTTGTACTGGGGATTAAACTCGGGTCTTTGTGCTTGTGAGCAGGCAACAGAACCACTGAGCCAAATCCCTGGCCCAAGACTCTGTCTTAAAAAAAACAAACAACAAAAGACACTGCTGCCTGCCTCGCAAGCACAAGGTCCTGAGTTCAATCCCTTGCACCAAAATCAAAACCCAAAACAAAAACAGAGTATCATAAACACAAACAACTTTGGAAAACAGTGTTTTTATTATTTTAAGTATAAAATAAAAACTACACACAAATATCATACTCTGTAGTTAGTAGGTGCATTTCTCATAGGAATATGGATTGGCAATTCTCAAACTACTTTACATGTGTTCCAGGACAGAGTAAAATAGTAAAGATGCTGCGAACAACAGGAGCCAGACTAAGCAAGGCAAGGAAAAGGCAGAGTGAAAGAGGGTCTGGTAACGGATTACAAACAGTGTACAGTCAGTCCAGGCACAGAGATACAGATATAGAGCTGTGTACATGTTTACCAGCTGTGTCCACCAAGAAAGCCAAGGAGCAGTGACGTCCTGACAGCACCGATCCTACCTGGTACGTGGGCCCTGGTTTCTAAACTGGACAGAGCTGGGGCTCCTTAGAGGAGTGGCTGGTGCCAGGTTTGTCAAGGAAACAGGTGTGGGAGAAAGTGAGGGAGTGCTCTAAAACCCACAGATGCCAGCGTGAAGGGGACCCCAGAGCCCCACGCTGGATGACACAAGCAACAAAATACAGGAGGGCAATGGATTATAATCCAAGAAATACAAATAAAAATATCTACGAAAATAAACAATAAGTAAATAGAAAAATTGAAAGAAGGGAAGACTCTTTCTTATAGTAGAGTTCTAACTAATAAATATAGGAGTGATGGAAATAGAAAAACCATTCGGCAAATACCACAGCAGTAATTATTTCAGGACTGAAGCTGCCAGAAGTGGAGAGGAGCGAACACATTTCTGCAGTCAGGTACCTCTTGACTCTCCAGGCCCCTTTAGGGCAGCATAAGTGCAATCCTCTGCCAGCCTTGGTTCAGGCCTATGGCTTCGGTGAAAAGAACCCCAAGAGAAAACTCGGGAATAAAAATGGAGGTGGCTCCTCTGGCTGACATAACAGAAGCATCTAGCTTCTAAAGAGGGAAAAGAAATCAGAAAAGGGGCTGGGGATGTAGCTCAGTGGTAGAGCACTTGCCTAGCAGGTGTAAGGCCCTGGGTTCAATCCAGCACTGAAAAACAGACAAAAAGCCCCCAGGGCAGTTAATTAAACCATGGAGTGACCAGAAAATCTGGAGTCTCCTGGAGGAATGGAAATTTCTGAGATGTGAATTTCTCAGGGTGAAAATTATATAGCTCGAGGGTCTTGAAGCAAAAGACAAAGATGTTTCCAGACCCTGAGAACTTTTCAGGGTTTAGGAGCAACCGTGAGTGGCCCTACACAGGATCCTGGGATACAGATGGAGGGACAGAGACCTCTTGCCTCCCTAGGACCAGAGCAGCCCCAGGCCTGTGCCATCCCTGCTCCCTTGCTGAAGTCCCCTCCAACCATGATCTTCCTGGAGGACCCTCAGGCACCCAGACAGGAGCCGGGAACCAGAAATCTCACAGTGCTGTGCTCCCAGGAGTTCCCACCCTCCTACCCCAGCAGCAGCAGTCAGACCTACTCTCACTCTGATTCAGACCTGAAATAAAGGCAATGCTACACTGGATCCTAAATTCTGTCTGAAGGGCAGAATACTGTAATTTAGTAACTCATGATTTCTTCCCTTCCCTGGGCAATGTAATGAAAAAGAATGAAATTAAATGAAAAGATTATTTCAAGAAATACATATGCTAAAATTAGTGACAGAAAGTATGGCTGTGGGCTGGGGACATAGCTCAGTGGTGCTGCCCTTGCCTCGCAAGAGCAAGGTCCTGTGTTCGATCCCTGGCACGAAAAAAAAAAAAAAAGAGAGAGAGAGAGAGAGAAAGTATGGCTGCAAGCAGAATTTCTACTGTCTCCAAGTATCTTCCCAAAAGCTATTCATTGTTTACAAAGAGAAAATACTAACTTTACGATAGGTACTTGGCAGATGTCCCTACACCACACGACCAAAATTAGTGTCTCCAGCAGTGGGACAAACTGCTGTCATGTATCCGCCGGGAAGCACTGAAGACACTATTTCCTTCGGAAATCGTCTTGTCAAAAGCACATAACTTGAAGTTAATCGTGGGGAAACATCAGGCAAATCTTGACTACCTCATAAAAGTGAAAGAGGAGCTGGGGCTGCTGGTCTAGGGTGAGGAACAATAAGAAAACATGCAAGCCAGGCATGGCGGTGCACGCCTATAACGCCAGCTACTAGGGAGGCGGAAGCAGGAGGAGCACAATTTCCGAGCAGCTAGCCGGAGCAACTTGAGACCCTGTCTCAAAACAAAATAAAAAGCGCGGGAGGTACAGTAGAGCTCAGTGGCGGAGTGCTTGCCTATCACGCGCGAGGCCCTCGGCGCAATCTCTAGTAGAGGGGGAAAGGTGTGTGCAACACAGGTTCTGGGTCACAGAAGCCAGCCATATGCAACGAAAATCACCACCACATTCAGTGAATCCTGCATAGTAGAGCATGGTATTGTAGTGTGGATTTCCCCGTTTAGAAAAACTGCGGCGACTGAAGGGGCTAACATTTTGGGGACCCGAGAAAGGCGCCGGGAACTTCGCGGGGTACTTACTCCTTTCGCAGTCTTAACCATCAGACGAGCAGCGGCCGCCGAGCCACCCACCCCTCACACTTCCAGGCCAGGATCGTCGGGGCCCACCATGGGGCCTGAAGGGCTCGGGTCTTCAGAGGAAAGGCGACCCGAGCGACCCCGCGCGCGCCGGCGCCACCCCTCGTGCGCCTCGCTCCATTGCCAGCCCTGCAGCTTCCCCGGCCTCGTTACCATGGCGATCCGAGTCGGCCAGTCGCTGTTTGGTTGCACGCTGCCCTGAGCTCAGATCCCGCCGGCCAGAAACCGGAGCCCCGATGTCAGGTTCCGGCCTCTGCTTACCGCACCTTTTGCGCAGCCTCGGAGGGAACGAGATCAGGGAAAGGGGACGCCACGTGATCCCTGGTGATCCGAGGGAGCCAGCCAGGGCTTGCATAGTTAGTCCCCCCACACACACACTCTCCCCTCGCCGGGCAACCTGAGTGCGTAGCTCAGCCGAGCGAGATGCCCCTTCTCCTCAGGACGTCGCTCTCGGGACCCCAAAAAAGCGTGGACCTGAGCCGGGAGGATGCAGACCTCCGGGTGAGGGGCGGCCGGCACCTCGGTAGCATTTGGGGAGGGGTCTGCCCGCGTTGCACATGCGGCTCTGTGGGTCTGCGGGCTACTTCTGGCCTTGGAGGACTAGGGCTGCAAAAGGTTAACCTGCATAGCGGGGGCAAGTTGGGACTTTGGCCCCGTGGAGGTCCTCCTGGCTACAGGTGGGAGGAAGGGCTGCAAGGAACCCTTGCAGGGCTCAGCCGGATGCCCCTGTTGTGAAGGCTCCAGGTGTGTGTCATTCAGGACCTCACATTGCTTGGGGCTTGTCCTGCAGGATTAGAGTACTGGAGGAAGGGGTGGTGGGGTGGCTTGAGGTCTGAGGAAGAGCCTGCCCCAGGGTCTAGTGGCAGGCTCCTTCCTGCCTGTCTTCCGGAGTTAGGTGTCTGTTCTTAGCCTAGCCACAGCTGGTAGAGTAGGCCCAGGACTAGGCAGAACCAGTGTTGGCCTACACATTGCTGCCAGCACTCCTGCTAGGGTGTCAGGGCACCCCCAAGGGCACTGTCCAGGCCTGATGTCATCCCCACATTTACACCTTTATCCCACAGCAACCTTAGCCTCTCCTCCTCCCCCTCCCTGTGTTATAGATGGCCAAGTTAGGTAGAAATTCTCACCAGTCAGACAGGGCTGAGTGTCAGTGCAGAAAAAGCGCATCACAACTGTGGCTGGAGGCGCATCTGTTGAAGGCCAGTCTCAAGGTAAAGACGGGCTGACCTGGCCTACACGCCTCCCTGAGGGGTAAGCAATAAATTGAAGATCATACTCTCATTGGCGTCACCTGGTCCAATAAAGTAGAGGTAGAAATCAGTCACCCAAGTGGAGACCAGGACCTCCCATCCATCCCTTCCTAAAAGGTCCTTGTTCTTTCTGTTCACACTTGGTACGTGACCTGCTTCCCTATTGGGTCAATACTACCTAAGTGGCTGTACTTGTAATCATATTGGTTGATCATAGTTTTGACCCATATTGTACCCACCTCAAGATTTTGCTCTATAGCTGGGGATTTAGCTCAGTGGTTCTGCTGCCTGCCTCAAAAGTGCAAGGTCCCAAATTTGATCACTGGTACCCCCCCCCAAAAAAAGATTTTGCTTTATAAAACCTCCTCTGTAAAGTGAGATCCACAGCAACCCACTTTCGGGTCCCCTCCTGTCTCTCAGGAGCTACCTCTCTCAAATTTTTTTTCTCTCAAGAAATTTTTCCTACTCATAACTTCTGTTGTTCCTTAAAACTAATTCTTTTGGGGAAAAATCATTCTTCAGTTTTGGAGAACATGAACAGCATATCTGACATCTAATAGGTGGAGTTATATTATCTCTCATGACCTGCTCCCTGCTCTTGCACTCTGGGCCTTTGCCTGGACCGCTCCCATTCCTGTTTGGCTGGCCTTCTGCTTTCTTGATGTCTATCCCTCCTCTAGTCCTTGTAGAACAGCAGGCAGGTCAGCTCCCCAAATCCTGCTAGGGTACAGAGCCATGCAGGGGTTGAGCAGCCCAGGGGGCAGCTCCTGGGCCAGACGTACCCACAAAGATGCCTGCACCCCTGCCTCGGCTCCTGTCCCGGTCACACTTAAACACATCCTGGGGAGTCTGCACCCCCAACAGCCACAAAAATGTCAGATGTTGAGGGGGGGCCTGCCTGGGACTTGGCTGAGAGGAGGCATACCAGCTGGGCCACCCAGAGGGGAACTGGGGCTTGCTGGGGTTCTAATCCCAGTGCCTTTAGCTGGGGGTGACCTGGCACAGAGTAAGGCTGTGACTCCCTGAACCACCCCCCCAACAGCCACCCCCTGCACCTCAAGATCCCCTCCAACACCAAGAGTGCTGTCCAGGGACACCATGTCCCTGCCTGCAGTATCTCTTCCGGCACAGACTGTCCTTGAGCCCTTGACATCTGGGCCAAAAGGGGCCACTCCTCTGAGCCCTGATGCACCCCCACATCACCCTCCCCAGCCCAGCACTAACTGGGCAGCCCGAGGGAGGCCAGCGCCTGCGGGTTCACAGATGAAGGGACCCCCAGGGCTGACATGAAGAATATAACTCAACCTCGTGCTTAAGAAACAGCAATCTATTCTCCTGCAGAAATTCATTCTGCAGAAATCCAGATGCTGGGCAGGTGCTCCCTGCAGGGACTCCAGGAGGATCCTCCTCTCCTCCCCAGACTCCCGGTGATGGCATCACTCCAACCTCTGCTCTTCCCAGGGTCTCTTCATGTCCGCCCTGCTCAGGATACCAGTCCTATCACTCAGGGCCCGCTCCATGCCAGTGATTATATCTGTAATGCCAACTAGTTGTATCAGGCCATTCTGAGGTGCAGGGGGCCAAGATTTGAGCCTGTGCTTTGAGGGGGCTCTGTGCAGCCTGTACCTGCTGCTGCCCCTGGGATGCCCTGCAGTCTTCCCTGTCCCATAGGCAGAACAGCACTGGCTGAGGGACCCCAACGGCACTCTGGTGGGTCTCACAACTGGGCCTGACCCTCCCCCATGCCTGAGCACAGCCAGGCAGAAGTAGGTCTGCAGGTCTGGATGTGGTGGTGGTTCTGGCACCAGCACCAGCACATATCTGAGGGGCAGGCGCCTCGGTTCCAGCGTCACGTAAACAAGGAAGGGTGAGAGAAAGGCCAAGGTGCAAGGCTTGGGCTGTGGCTCTGGGATCCCAGAATACAGGCTGACCTGGTGGCCTCTTACTGACCATGGGGTGGGCAGCCTGGGCTGGAACCTATACTTCCCTCCCCCCAGCAGTGTACCCTGGGGTCTGGGCAGTACCGGGAGCTGCCCAAGGAGACCTGGCTGCAGCTGCCTGTGATGCCAGGTCCTTCCTCTGATATTGTAGCTGTAGGACCGACCTCACCATGGGAGTCCCACAGATGTTATCTGAGGCCTCCAAGTCTCACCGGGGGTCCAAAGCACAGGATTCTGAACAGAAACTGGGCTGCCCGGCCTGAGCAAGTCACTTCCCATCAAATGTGGGGACGCTGAGTCAGGCCGCCTGGGCCACTTCTCCATCTGCCCTGCGCCTGGCGCTGGGGCGCAAGGTGAGCTGAGAAGTGAAAGACCCTCTGTACGGCTGGCTGACGCCCAGTCCCTGGGGCCTCTGTGAAGCCACCCAGGAAGGAAGGTGGGGTGGGCATAGTCTCTGCTGGGTCCCAGGCAGAGGGAGACCCATAGGCAGGGCATTGATGTCAACCGGAGTGCGCTAGGTGATGACATCTCCTGTTCTTTACAGATGGGTAGAGAGGTTCAGGAGGTTGGTGCGGCTCTGAGGAGACACCTTCCACCTGCCCCGGCTGTGCCAGGCTGGATGGCCAGCTGAGTGGTCCTGTGAACAGGCCACCAGGAGGGGTCAGGTTGGCTGTGGGCTGAGAGGTTCTGCTGGAAAGGACAGCACCCAAGAAGGACAAGTGGGACTGGCCTTGTCCAGAGGAAGCCCGACACCTTCAGCCACTTCCTGGGGAGGTCAGAATGAGGCTCAGCAGGGTATGGACACACAGGACTGGGTGCCCTGGGAGGTGGTGTGGGCAGCTCCCGAGGCCTCTTGGTCCTGTGTCCACCTTCCTCTGCTGTCCTGTCTACTGCACAGGCAGCAGTCTGGGAGCAGCAGGTGAGTTGAGGGGACCATGGGGGACAGGCGGCATTCTCAAGCTGCTGTATTTTTTATTTTTCATTTTTTTGGTATTGGGGATGGAACTCAGGACCTTTCGCTTGTGAAGCAGGCGGTGGAACCACTGAGCTAAATCCCCAGCCTCTCCCACTGCTTTAAAAAAATTTTTAATGAACAAATAAAATAAAATTTAATAATCAAATAATAAGAGAATAACAATAGTTACTACCCTGTGCATCATTATCTTCAAAGTAGTTCCTCAGGGCCGGGGATGTAGCTCAGTGATTCTGCTGCCTGCGCAAGGACCCGAGTTCAAGCTCCGGTAACCCCCCCAAAAAAGTAGTTCCTCAGAGGACAAGATATAAAACCAAAATATTCTAACAAAAAAGAAACAGATAATAATACACAATCTTTTCAACAAACTAAGACGAACCAGTAGTATAAATGAAGTCAATTAGCATATATATTGAAGTGTTTTTAAAACTATGGAATTGGTAGTTTGGGGAAGGTATTTTCACCTAGCCGAGGCCTCTGGAGACCATGAGACCCTCTGCTCTTGGAGTAAAAAATGAGGAAATTGAGGTTGGTGAAACTCGGCCTGTGTGGCCTCTTGCTGAGCTGAGCTGGGCTGGGCCCTTGGGTGTCTCTGTCAGAGCCTGCGTTTGCTTGCGGCCCACGCGCCTCCCTTGTCCCCGCAGGTTCCTCAGAGCTGTCAGTGCTGAGTCACAGGAGGGGCTGCGGCCCAGCAGGCAGGAAGCTTGGGCAAGGCTTCTTCTCCCAGCAGGCTGACTCGCGGCAGGCAGCCAGCTCACCCACCAACCTACTCACACCCCAGCCTGGTCGGGAGAAGGCCTGAGGCACTGTAGAATTGCCTTGGCAGAGGCAGGGGCAGGGGGCTGTGACCTCTGTCCCCTGGTTTGGGGTGCTCAGGACTACAAAGGGAATGACAGGCTGCTGGTCCCCCAGAGAGTGGACGGCTAAAGTGGGTGGAGCCTTGGTCACAGCAGCAGGGGACTCAGGAACATGTGTGTCAGCT